ATTTTACAAACCAAAAAAAAATCGGCCTTAATCGTAGCGAAACCTATTCTTTTTAATTAATATCCAAAGTGCTTAACCGATGTTGATGGAATTTTTATGGGACTAATCTGACAAAGTTTAGAACCTACTCTTTTTTAAAGTCGGTTGAAACTAGTAAGCATTATAAAGATATTTCTCGTAATTTTTGATAAAAAATAATAAATATTAAACCTTGGCAATGATGACGAATGGGAATTGCATACTAAGTATATTCAGTAGAATAATAATATTTAATAAATTGTATATAAAAAAATAACATACTTAAATCATAAAAAAATATAGAACCAGAATAAATACCAAATTAATGCAAAAAGAATTATAAAAAAGTTTAAAACTGACTGTTAATAAAGTACATTGATTCATTGAAATATACCTAATATAAAATACACGAAAATTATATAAAAATTATTAGAGCACTGTTGTAACGTATTTATAGGAGAAAACATTCCACAGACTACAAAAAATATTTGAAAATCTTGTGTGAATATTTGTTCTTTTCTGCCTAAAACCCGAGACTAACCAGGCAAATAAACAGGTCAACCGGGACGCTATTATTGCTGGCCCTAATAATTGTATTTCATGTTTATTCGTGTTTACGATCTATATTTATTGGGGATTTTATATGCAAGGTATTTTTTATGTAAGGGGTATAAATAAATAAAACATATGTTGCGCTGTAATTCACTTATTTCGTAATATAATTAGATTAAAATTTATTTACAGTTTTTTTTGTGCGTTGTTAACAAAACTATAACTGACACTATTACATAAATTGTATATTATAATAATAATGTATTTATGTATTTTCCTTTATATATATTGTTTATTACATATTCACTTACATTTTAACTAATCACATTTCGAGATCTTAAATTAATTGAAATTGTATAAATTATCTCAGAACAAGAAAGGAAGCCTCGCAGAATGCCATTTGTTTACGTGCCAAAACAATAATTATTGAGTTGTGAAATTCATCTGACAGTATTTCGAAGTTTTGAGTTTCAAATGCTTTGTTTTAGAAGGATAATTTATAGTGACAATTCTAATTCGTTACGAAGACTGAAGTAGGTATCGGGTTTCATTTAGGGAAGTTTAATAACGAGAATAAATTGAAATTATAATCTCTCGTCTAAAATTAAATAAAACATCTTCAGTAAAATCTATTTATAGACTCCTTTCGGCACTATTATTGAAACAGTTATATAAAAACGGCCAAATATATAAATTGTATATATATTATATAAATTAGAATTAATAAATAAATTAATTAAAAAATCGTTTGTCCAGATTTGTTAAAAAATGTAAAACTATGCTATTTCTTAGATTTGTTATAAATAAATATTAATATTATATAGTTCATTGAAAGAAAGTACAGTACAAGTACACGCAATGTAGAGTGACTCCAACAAGATGAGCGACGTCCTCAACTATATTCGGGGAAGTAAATGCTAATCTTAAGATAGTTTCATGGAAAGCTTGTCTCAGCGGTAAACAACGAATGACTGAATGAAATCCACCAAGAGATTATCCAGTCTTATAACAGGCTCTCTTTATTACTGTCTTTAGTGTCGCTTAATCATGGTCGTAGTTTTTATTAAGGACGCAGATGTTGTAGTTTCTTCGCGAATTTTATTTTTGGTCAACCACTTCGTTTCTGCTTTAGAGTTTCTCAATTATAAAGTTATAAGGCATAAGGAATTATAAGTAATGGGGATTAGGGTCGTATTGCAGTCAATAACTTTATTAAAACGTTTCTTTTTAATTCATACTCTTTTGACACATCATTTATGATCACTTTTACGTTTGGATAAATTCGACCTACTTATAGCCGAAATTAATTTTTAGGTATCCCTACGAATTATCATATTATGACGTATCTGATAGGTCTACTCTGTCGTTATGACCGAGATATATTTATTAATCGGGATCAAAAGTCTGTGTCACATTTCATGTCAAGCTATTAAAGCATTAAGAGGAAATAAACTTCCAAATTAATCTTATAACAATAAATATAAAATATTAAGAAGATAACTTACATTCTTTTAATTTAACTTATATATTATTAAAGGCGTAGATATATAACAATTCGTAGGTACTTTATAAAGATATATCACAAAATATATTTTGTACGAAATTTGTATGATAATCAGCTAGTTCTTAGATTCTGTACTATTACACTTACATTATGACAAGTGAAATAAAAAAGGATTATCAAAATCTGTACAGAATGGACAATAACTCAAGAACCGAGAAGCCACTTTGTCAGTGTTGTTTAAAAATGATGATTCTCAATCAAGTAAATGCCTACTGCTTAATTAAAGGCCGATGTTACGTTAATTTGATTTTTCAACCTTCAAACAGAATCAACAACGCACACCTCTCTCGATAGAAATGGATAAGACGTAATACACGACGTTATAACTAATTCTTTAGTAATTAGTCAATGTTATTAACTCTAAACCTCTAATTTACTCTTTTGATAGTAAAAATAATTTAATTTCTTCGAAATAATAATATCATATACTTATATATGAGGACAGAAGGGGAAAAATGTTGGAACACTTGATACGACACGACGAACTTATGAACATTATAATAGAAGGTAAGATAGAAGGAAGGAGGGGAAGAGGGAGACCGAGACATAGTTACATCAGGCAGATCAAGGAAGGAGTTCGTGTCGTATCATATCAAGAGGTGAAGAGACTTGCTGAAAATCGTAGTGACTGGCAAGAGCTCCACTGACAAGAGCGCAGCTCTTAAATAGGATAGATAGATATATATTTATAATGAAGTAATTTTAAGCAAACAAAAAGACTTTTCTTTTTATAAATAATATTTGTAATTTAGCACATGTATGTGTGTTCAAATTATTTATTATTATACCCTATAGAGACTTGTTATCTTTAGAACGTCTACTTACAAAACGAAATTTCAGTGAATTTTTCATGAAAACATGTTTATACTTGATCCTGTTGTTTGACCCTGACTGTTTGTTGGGTAGGGTTTGTCATTATAACCTACTATAACTATTCAAAACATATATCATATTTGGCAGATAATTTAGAAACGTGCGTATTCAGCTAAGCTTGTTTATTTCGACAACTTTGACAAGCCATCTACCACAGTTCCGATACATGTCTACACAAATGATATGTGCTTTGCATTGAAAATTAGCGTTGTAATATTATAATTTCAATATAACAATGATAAAAAATAATCTTCATCAATTTTAATTTTATTTTTAATAACATTTTAACTGTTAAAATACGAAAAAAGAATATTCTTCTATTTTCGAGTTTTAAAAATTTAAACTAATTACCATTACTATTTGAACAGTTATTATAATATTATAAACGTGAAAATGAGTTTGCTTGTTAGTTACCTCTTAACGCTTTAAATAACGACTTAACCAATTGCAAAAAAATTATGTGTGACGGAGGACAGGTTATTTTTTATCCCAATCAGTGAATATATGCCGGACGAAGTCGAGGGTAAAACCTATTAGGGTATATAAAGTGAATATGGACTTCAAGTATGCAATAACATAATATTTAACGACAGTCAATAGATCAATGGAAATTCCACAGATGTAAATAGAGGTAGACGATCCATATCCTACGATTTATATGTAAACTAAACGTAACTTGCTCAGTTTTCCCGTATTGCATCGCTTCGAAAATACAATTTCGTTATTTAATACAAATTTTGTATCATCATTATTATTTTCATCAAAAGGAAATAAATTCATGCTATTTTCATTTCAAAATTCCAACTTACGTGCAAATATATGCAAGAACGGCATCTTTGTAATCTATATCTATGATTTCTTTTTACTTTTTTATATAAATCATACGATCATAACATCCATTTAGCATGAAAGGTGTTTTATTTTCATATTCTACCCACGATTGTAGGAAAAAGTTGTTGAGTTTCATGAATAGGTCCTATGAATAGCCAAGTGGGCTATAGATTGTTATACTACGCCATACACTTTCCGTTGTGTAACGGAATGTGCGTAAAATGTACATGAAATACCAATACCTACATTAATAGTGTTATTAACGTAGGTATTGATATTTCATGTACTCGTATTACTGAAAAGTTTGTGTGTGAAAAAAAGTCTTAATAAGTAATCTTTACTGGATCAAAAACCGAAATCATTAATTCATAATAAATTATGATATCTCCAGAAGAGATATCGAATTTACGTACTAAATTTCTTCCCCTATTTTAAAATCCATAGGGATTGAATACTGTACTCTATCCTATTTGTATATCGTAAAAAGAGCTAATTGTTTAAATTTCACGTTCCTATTGTGTTTTAATTTTAATTTTTTAGTCCCTGCACAATCCCTGCCCTCTCCCCTGGACTCAATATTTGCCACATAATTAAAAAATAGAACATTATTCAAGTAATAAGCAAAGCAAAATTTATTACATGATTAATTATTTTTTATGGAATATACCTATATGCTGACAGAAATGTATTATACTAATTATCATCTTATCTTTCATGTAAAACTGATATATAAAATAAAAGATGATTTTTTTCGCACGTTTTTTATCTATTTTATTGATTTTGTAAACATTTAAACATGTCAGATATCGTAACATTTCCAAAAGTTTACAATTGAGATCAAATGTTTTACTGATTGTAATATTAGTTCAACAATAAAGCACAAAATGTTCATTATTAGGCCACGCCATTCATCTATAGTGCAAAATCACAATTTTCTAAAAATTTATCTTATTTTTTGTACAATATACTACGCAGTCCCATTAACTGATACCAGTCAATTCTTGAGTGTCCATAATATATAGTGATATATAGTTATTAGATGTACTCAATATACAACCGTAGTTACATCCAAACTCAAGTGATTAAAGTCGTTTAAGTGTCCATTTATTGATTACATCACTAACATTTGAAATTATTAAAATCACTATTTATTTCTTTTCAGATTTTTTAATAATAGAAGAGGACAAGAAGAGGTTAAGAAAAATGGTCTATTTAGGGCAATGTTGTCATTAAATGATTAACGAGATCAAGTACAAGTGGGGTATTTGTGTAGTGTAGTGTTGAATGAACAGCATGTGAAAAGCCATCAGAACACAATGTGGGCGGCGGTGCTGAGCTGTTTTTTCATATTATTCGGTAAGTGCTATTTTTTTATTGCTGGTACTTGGTGGAAAATCGAATACATGTTTTAAATAGTTTTATTAAATGGATATTTTCAAGCTTTGTACGCTTTGTGAACATGTCATGTATAACGATAGACAAATGCTTACGATTTACTAAACTATTATATTCGTGAGCATATTTATTTTGTTTTGACATAATTAAAAAATATACAATATCTTAAACCGATAAGATACACATAATACACGTGTAAAAATGAGTTACTGCAGGTGCTAGTATAGTTCACAACATGATTTATATATTATAACAATGATTTTTAATTCAGAATATAAAGAACACAAATTACTGCTATAAAAACAATTACAATTTTAATCTTGAAAGATTAAAATTAAGTTGAAACTTGATCCATCAGGATTATATCTCAGATTGATGGTGCCTACGTATTTTAATAAATAACGTTAAGGAAAAATGCTGCATTATATGTAAATTGTATTTATTTATTTATTTATAGTACATAGAAGTAAAGTATTCACGCATTTGTGGTGTAACACACTCTGCTCCGACAGCTGAATTATTTGAATTCTATGAAATCGATTTGAGCTATTAAATTTTCAACTAATTACAAAACGGAGGCCATTGTCAAATTGAGTATGTTTTTACGGATGTTATGCTATAATTTTTATATTTAAATTTTTTTAGCAATGTTGTTGTTTCTGTTGTAATAAATATTATTTACCTCTGTACTAGCCCACTACTAATTAGTCAAGATCGAAATTGTAAGAACTGTAGTTAACATAATCTTAAATTATTTAATCTAATATTTACTTTTATTTCTCAGGTTTTTATTTCTTAAGAGTTTACGAAAGTTTATTTTGATTTTAACATAAAACATAGAACGGGCCGTCTCTTTTCTTCCCGTGGGTGTCGTAAGAGGCGACTTAGAGAATTTAATAAATAAAATAAAATTTAAAAAACAACACTAAAGTCTGCAGTTGCTCAACCCGCTTGCCAAGCATGGCAACTACTGATCTATGTTCAACAGTGTACAGTTAGCGACTAATATAATGAATAATTGTAATAGGAAAATTTTTGATATCTTTGGCTGCATTATTGTAATTTACGTAGGAATATTTATTTATTTTTTAATAATATATAGTCTGTTACTTGCTGGTAAAACACCTTTCTTTAAAAGAATGTTATGTGAAAGAATTTTTAAAATCGGTTGAGTTTTACCAGAGGGAGACTTTGTACAAAAGTCGTTTGCTTGGGTACCTCTGTCCCATTCGTGTTTCAACCGTAAAGCAGTTGTGTTTCGGTTTGAAGGGTCCCACCATTCAATGAATATGGCGTGAATTTATCGGGTACGAAGGAATAACACCTGAGTCCTCAGGAATGGCAACGCATGGGGGTATCATGGGCGAAACAGTATACTCCGTTATGTCCATGGTACTGCTTATATTTATAGACGACGGTTATCACTTTCTATCAGGTGGGCCGTTAGCTTGTTTGCCATTTTAAGTTGTATAAAAAAAAAGTTTTTGTGATTATCCATTATAAACAAACAATATTTTTTTTCTTTATAATATTAGTACAGATAAAGTCTCTTACAGACAACCTTTGAGAAAAGAGTTGAAAATAACGTAGGAAAATATATATATATATATATATATATATATATATATATATATATATATATATATATATATATATATATATATATATATATATATATATATATATATATATATATAAGGAACTTATATATAATCGTATTTAATAATTTTGATCTTTTAGTACTAAAGGATATTAATTATATTGAAAATCATGATTAAGATAACGATCTTGAAGAGTGTGAAAGTTGATACTCAGGCAAATTTAGTCCAGGAAAATGAATAAAGTTGCGAACAAAGTCGAGGGCACTCGTTAGTGTCGTATTTCCAATTTACTACCTACTCATAATGCTAAATAATTGTATGAGTCGAAATGACGACGGCCATGATAAATACAAAATAATAAACATTTGAAGGAAGCTTTACAATTTATGTAGATTTGTTGAACCGTTAACAGATTTAACAATTTCAATATTAATTATTGAAACTTTGAATATGATATCCACCTTCAGATGTCGAACAATTGTCGTATATAATTAATTACTATAGTGATATATAATAATTAATTATATACGATGTTTTAGGTCCATTTTGTATTCTTATACGTATAAATAATAAAACATGCTATTAATATCAATATGAAACTTCGTAAACATATTTCGATATTTAATCGTATTACTCAATTGCGAAAACTATTAAGAATCTGACTTTGTTTACTATTTTTTGTACCTTAACAGATTAAAAATGATCATGACGTTTGGCACATATGTAATATTTAGCTTAGCATGAATGAAGGTTCTCGAGTGGCGTACCATCAAACGCACTCTCCACTAGAGGAAGCGCCAAAATCAGTTGTACTGTAGGAAGTCATTGGATGCTGGTGGCTCAAGACCGTACTTTATAACAGTGTAGAGGGAGGTCTATATTTGATAGTGAATAATGAATGACTGGATGACAATGAAATAATTCACTAGCACAGCGAGTGTACAAGCAAAGATTAGAGCGTTAGATCCTGTTTTTTTTTTTTATCTAAGCCGGGCTATCTTAGCCGGGGTTAAAGAGCGTTTAACAACATATTGGTATCAAATACTTTGCTATTATTTACAAATAACTGTAGTTTAGATTACATGTACAGAGCAAGTAGGTATTCTCTGTTGTCACAGTCAAAAAGCATGAAGGTGAAAACCCCATTTTATACTAATTATAATACGATTCAGTATACAATGTGTAAGTACATAAAATACTTAGTACACAAACATATGTAGTCAATGTTCTGAAAGACCAACAGCTTAAAACGGATTCTGAAGGCTAATGTCTCTTTAAGGAGACAGGAAAATAACTTACCTAACATGACATGAGCTACAATTAACTATTCTTCTGTTAAGGGTCTTCTTATCCGAAACTTAATCCTTATTAATCTACTAATCCTTATTTCCTTACTAATATTACAAATGCGAAAGGTTGTTTCTTGTATTTGAACGCTTTAACATTTCAACCAATTGTCGTGAAATTTGCATGTTAGCTACATACTTTTTATTCCAGTAAGACGAAAAAATTCACGGGTAAAAATTAGTATTTATATAAAAACTAATAAGACTTAATATTAAGTGGCATTCTCAGGTGGCCTTGTTTGATCTTATGGATTAAAAGCTCTGAATTAATTACCATCCACTTCAGTTAAATAACTAATTAGCCAAGTCAAAAAATTAAACTAAGTATGACTAATTTACTTCTGTTGAAATAATTTTGCTTTTTTATGTGAATTTGTAATGGAAGAGGGTCCTAATTCATTTCTATTCTTATTAAGTCTGAATTCATTTTGATAATTTATTTTGCAATCTATATATAAGATTTATTCACATGTTGGCCCCATTTATTTTTGCTACAATCGATGTCGCTATTTTTAAATAACAATCATAAGGTTGAGATATTTAATTCACCAGTACTACCGAATATATTACTTAAGTACGTGCTATTCTAAACTGATTTTTATAATTATTACTAAAATCGATAAGTACTTCCGTGTTTTAGTCTAATATTAATTCTGTAACAATTTAAATCGATATTTTTTTTCTGCCGAGAAAAATTTTAAGCTATTTGTAGCAGGCTTAATATCCTGAAGTTTTCTGTTATATTTGAACTTTTCTATATAACTATTATGTATAGAATATTATTTCTATAATATTTTAGGAAAAAACTGAAAGTATTATTTTACTTGCTATACCTATCTAAGTGCGGTTCGTGTCGAAACACCAAAGTAGCCACTATAGATCCCTAATCTTTACAAACCCTTTTATTTTCCGGGATAAATGATATCGTAAATGTTAGCCCGAAATATAAGCCATTACCTAATATTTCAAGTCTTATCTTAAGATACAGTAAGTAATATAATATACAATATATATGTAGTAATATAGTCCTTAGATTCGACGTATTGCATTCATAGATAGATAGACGTACTACAGTTCTATATGGTTATAACTATGAAGGAATCAATAAAGACGTAATTACCATCAATTAATTATTTCTACAATTCTGTTACAGAGAACTTATAATCTGATAATGGAACGGTATTGTTAATTATAGATTATTTTTAATTACATAGTTAATTTTCGTAACTAAAATCTGATATTGCTTAAAATATTAATAAAAAATAAATTTAAAAAAATTTGATAAGTAAAAATGAAACAAATATTTAGAATTACTGTTTATCTGTCTCCCGTGTTTCTATATTACTATCGGTAAGTAAATAAAACACAAGCATACAATATGCAACACATATTCACTATTATTTCCAATCGACAACGTACGCCTCAAAGTGAGTGAATGCCTAATGCCCCGAGGGGCTGCGCATTGATTGACTGTGGTAAAAACTATTATAAACGGGTTTATTAAACGAAAATCGTTTTGGAATTCTCTAGCATAAATTCAGAACAATACTGACTAGAAAATACTTAAGATATTATTTACGTATATTTTGTTACCGTATTAGTAAATATAGTTAATTTTATTTTATTATTTGAATCTTACCAAAAGTGTTGAATTCATACAATTCTTATTGCATTGTATAAATTTAGTCAAATCCAGTTCGCCAAACGTATTTAAGTGGTTTCAAAAATAAAATAGGTCTCTATTCGCCTCTATTTTTATGTGTATGTTACGCAATATATCTGACAATTTTTAATAGATTTTATTCAGTACTAGCTGTTAGCCTACTACTTTGGTCACGTTGATTTCAGAAGTAGGAAAATTAATAAAATAAACCATTTTAAGATAGTTTTCAGTTTTTAATTTAGACTATCAATGAAAACAACTGTGAAAATCGCATATCATTTGGTTCAGTAGTTTTTGCGCAATACCGAAACAAACACGGACAAAATTTCTATTATTAATTGTTTTGGTATT